GATGCGTGAGAGCACAGAGTGGTACAGAATAGTACAGAGCAAGGCTGTCGCTTGTCTTGCGATATCGAGCTTCAGGCACCCAGTGTCTTTTGCGCTCCAGGGAAGGCAGCTTTCAGGCGACTCAGGGGCGGCCCAGCAGCGGTAACATGCGGTATCCCAACTAAACGCCAGATGAGAAACGGTCTCTGAGCCAATCAGAAGCAGCGCTTGCGGCCAGGATCGCCGAGTCGAGTGAGTCGACCATCATGCTCCCAGCGCGATGGCCCAAACGCTCGCCCAAACAGTGCAAACGGCACTGTATTTGGCACAGGTGCCACTCTGGGATCGTCAATTTCCAACGTCTGATGCACTCCTCTGCTTCCATCCGCAGCTCGTGCCTCTTGCCCTTCTTCTTGTTGCGTCCGGAAGTGCCCAGACTTTCGAGCATCTTCCCAAGGACAATCTGCAGGCGTGGCGACAGATGTGGAAACGGCTCTATGGAAGAAAGGATTCGACACGCAAACGTGCGGTCGGCAGTGCTCACCAAATCCCATTGAAGCCAGTTCAGCAGAGTCATTGCATAGAAGCCTCTGACGTACCAGTTCGGTATGCAGTCCAGACACGCTTCCATTAGAGCCAGGCACAGCTGCCACAGGTTGTCGTCCTCTCGCGCATGTCCGGAGAGCCAGCGAACCACCTCAGAATGGCTCGTGAAATCAAGCCGTGTATATTACCAGCCATCTTCAGCCACAAGATTGTCTACAGAATCGCCTACAACGTATGCCCTGTGGATCTGAAGCCAAGGAGCATGGTGAATCGATTCCGGGCTGGCCACCCACCAGCTCGCAAGCGCACGGCGGCGAAACAGGCACTGGAGTCCTGTGAGGGCCCAGGGAAAAGCAGGAAATCGTTTGTGGGAGACAAGTGACCGAACATGGGAGAGGCAGATGGGAGACGAGTGGGAGATGATGAAAAGAGTAAGGGAGTCCCAGCAATGCGTGCCAGCATCCAGGCCTGTGGGAGACAAGTCGGTGAAAGAAGTGGCAAACAAGTGAGGAACAAATGAAAACAATCGAACCCTAGCAGTGCGGTGTCGGAGAGAAGTGGAAGGCAAGTGAGTACTAACCACTCTCCGTCCGGTCACAGGCACTTTCGAAAACACATACCTTCAGATTCAGAAAGTCAACTAAAGGTTTTCATTTTTGCGATCTTTGATCTCCTGAGTTGTGTTATCACACATACCCTGGCGGGGGCTTCCGCCTTCACTTACGACGAGCCTTGTGCAGCGCTGGACTCGCAGGACCCTGACGCTGAGCTCTTTGAGCTCCAGCCAGCTAGCAGGGCCTCCGGCCTGCAACAGTCCACGCTTACTGGCATAAACATCGATCTTTGGCGGCTTGTGGGCCTTTCCGACTTGGTCACGTAGACCAGGTGACCAACCAGAGCCTGCCAAGAGAAGCTTAGATTGCCACACCTTGCTGTCTTTGCTGCAAAGCCTCCGGCCTTTGTCTGTGAAGGTAGTCGACACACAGCACGGAACTGCACAAAGTCGCGAACCTTGGACGCATCAAACATATATGAATCCCGGCTTCCCTATTTGGAAGATGCTGATGTCGGTTCGAAGGTCTGCACGGTGAGATACGGAACCACCACATTTGAGACGATCGGCCTCCGGATCACTGCAGTTGCAGAACGTGCGATCGCGCATCTCCAGTGCAACTAGGAAGCCATGGGATCTTCTTTGCGACCACCATAGCTTCGACGCTCTTGTCAGCCTGGGGAGAACTGGCACCCAGTGCCGTGCAGTTGTCTCTGCATGTGCTCGAAGCTACACCTTCCGGAATTTTCCAACTGCTCCAGTGTAGTTTTTTTTACAGTCCAAGCTGGTCCCTGTTCACCCTCCGTCTCTACTCAACCTGGAAAGACGACATGTCAATTCTTCCGGACAGGGCTACGCAGAACCCAGGTCCTTGTGGCTGTCTGCTTCCAATGCTGTTGTTGCATACGATTGCAGTATTGCAGTTGCAGTATGACCCTATGACCCTGCCCATGACCCCCGGCTTGTGCAAGGGCAGCATGTTGTAAGGAAGTCCACGTGAAGACAATTCGTCGAGGCCCTTACATCCGCCGGGACATCCGAGCCACCCTGCAAGGCAAAACGCCGTCCAACACATGGGCCGCCCACATGCGTCAACACATGCGCCCTTGGAGCTCTACCCGGCGGCCACCAGCACCCGCGTGGCTGTGTGAGTGCGTTACTGTAGCTGCAGCCGCTAGGGGGCCGGTTGCCTTGGGTTCCGCTGCGCCAGGATTCTGCTGAATGACCTCGAGCTGCTCCTGGCACGACTGTACCGCGTTGAAGATGAACGCGGCTCGCGTTGACTCCAAGCTTCAGGGAGGGCTGCCCCCACCTCGTCGGTGCAGACACCTTTTGCCTTGCAGTCCGACAGTCTTGGCATTCTCAACTCCAGAAAAGGACAAGGACATATTTCTGATATCTGCGAAACGCAAGGCCTGTGTATGTTTTGCTGGAACGATATGGGAGTTGGCCGTTGAGGGTTCAGGGCCGAGGATCATACTGTAGCCTTCAGGGCGTGATACATCCTGCGAAATGCCCTATGAGCCTGTCTTTCGTAACTTTAGTGTAGCAGCTTGCGAAACGATACAGCTGCCCAATAGATAGACTGCGGCGTCATACTGCAACAAGATGGCTTCTCGGACGAATAATGACTTCAGACTCGTCTCACTAAAGCAGGAAAATTAGAGCCCCACGCCCCACGCGCCTGGCAATTGCAGTTCAGTCCGTCGATCTTCAGCATCAGACTCTCGAGGGGAACCGATGCTGAAAGGACCGACAAGGGCCTGAACCAAAAGGACCTGGCAAGTGGCAAAGTTTGACTTCGACATCTGCTAGGCCAGGACGGGCGGCGGAGGGGTGGCTGAGTGGTACACCGACTCCGGCTGCATGAAATCGCACGAAGCATGCCGGGGTCACGCGCTGCCCTCCTCCACCGCCAGGTCCTCTTGGACATCCTGTGTAAGGAGCAGAACCACACAACACACCCCGACAAGCCTGAAACCTGACATGAGTTTGCCCTGAATCCAACCTGACGCCGAACCTATTCCTGGCCAGTCAATTCGGCTGCTGATGATCTGAAAGTAGCAACCTATAGCATGCTATGTAATCCTGAAGCGGCGTCATGCTAAGATCATACACACGTACTCCGGCCCATATTAGGCAAGAGACCGAACATGAGTGGCAAAGAGCACGCTCGTACAGATGCCGTCTTGTAAGGGCCCAACACGTCCCGGGCAAACTTCCTGGCAAATCCGCCCGGCCTGGCGCAAGGAGGCGCTGGATCCTGCCTCAAACTGGAGGTTTGCCGAACTGCGGGCCCCCTTGCTGTTTGTAGACTGATTTCAAAAAAATAGTCAACTTGGTCTTTGTGGCAACAGCTGTGATTGGGTTCTGCCCGTGCCTCTGGCCCAGGCGTGCACTCCGTGCACCAGGGGTCCTGTGCGCCGAAGGTCCAATACTCTGCCCAACGACATGACATCACCATGACAGCTGCCAGGCACCTGTTCCACCGGAAGTGCGGACAACGAATGCATAACGCCAAACAAATACAGCTATACATCTTCTTCCAAGCAAGCTGGAGTTCGACGTAAACGCATCACATACACATACACGCTGCTCAATTTCAACAGCGAATTGCAAAACAGTCCTGGAAGCTGTCTCTGGATGCGTCCGGAGCAATAACCTGGTCGCGGGTCGAGCGGGGACAGCGTCGGCGCATGTCTGTGGCTGAGTTGGCCACTACCTCCAGCTCATCCAAACAACCTGGGACAGGCGATTCGCATCTTCTCTATGTCAAGCGATCTAGGGATCCAGGTCATGTCGCCTTCTGGTTGCGGCTGATGGCACAGCCCTCAGCGCAAGGAAGTCAGGACGGCAGCGCGACAGCTGCGAGACCCAGGTATACCCAGGTGACACTCTACACGATGCAAACGTAAGCACGCTGAGAGCGAGTCAGCTGAAGCCGCCGCTCCACCACATGACGGCTCGAAGTTACTAGCTTTACTAGCTCATGTGTATCTCTGCGTGCCATATGTGAAACCCAGAAACCATCATTGCTGCTCAAACTTGGAGATGCCGAGATGCCTCCTTGCAGAAGGAACTGCCGGGTTGATCTTGCTTGGCGGTGAGACCCGTGATGTTGCAATGAAGGGCATTGTGTCAGACCGACTCAACCCCATCGGTGTTAACGGTGCAGCCTTCAAACCGAATGACAGATGTACTTGTGTTGCGGACTTGGGATGTCCCAAATCAGATTCCGAGTGGCTTGAGAGTTAGAGTCGGCGTCTTGGCTTAGCTTCACCGCTTCCAGGCCATTTGGGCCGAGATGCTTGAGCCAGTTCCAAGCACATCCCACGTGATAGCAAGTCATGGGTTTGGGAGAATCATCCGCAGATCCAGGACCATCATCCAGGCAGCCCCAAAAAACACCATTCATTCATGGCATAGGCGCGCGCTGCTTTGGGTTGGCAGGTACTAGACAGGATAAAGGGGAGCGCTGCTTTTGCAAGTGGTACGTGGCTCAGCATGTCCAACAGATAGTTATAAACGTGTGCAATCATCATTTTTCCTTGCCGCCTAGTTAGCGGTGTTGTAGTTGGTTGTTGTGGCTAGAACACGGATTAGAGCAGCGGACAAGCAGTTTCTCCAACATCTTATCTGGGAAGCCAGGCCATGTAGACGCACGCTGCGTGCGGAAGCTAGGCTCTGCATACGCTATGTGGCCATGTCCATGCTTCACGCTTCACTACACAAGATCGAAGCCTCACAGCGCACGCATGGAAAGATGCGTGAGAGCACAGAGTAGTACAGAATAGTACAGAGCAAGGCTGTCGCTTGTCTTGCGATATCGAGCTTCAGGCACCCAGTGTCTTTTGCGCTCCAGGGAAGGCAGCTTTCAGGCGACTCAGGGGCGGCCCAGCAGCGGTAACATGCGGTATCCCAACTAAACGCCAGATGAGAAACGGTCTCTGAGCCAATCAGAAGCAGCGCTTGCGGCCAGGATCGCCGAGTCGAGTGAGTCGACCATCATGCTCCCAGCGCGATGGCCCAAACGCTCGCCCAAACAGTGCAAACGGCACTGTATTTGGCACAGGTGCCACTCTGGGATCGTCAATTTCCAACGTCTGATGCACTCCTCTGCTTCCATCCGCAGCTCGTGCCTCTTGCCCTTCTTCTTGTTGCGTCGGGAAGTGCCCAGACTTTCGAGCATCTTCCCAAGGACAATCTGCAGGCGTGGCGACAGATGTGGAAACGGCTCTATGGAAGAAAGGATTCGACACGCAAACGTGCGGTCGGCAGTGCTCACCAAATCCCATTGAAGCCAGTTCAGCAGAGTCATTGCATAGAAGCCTCTGACGTACCAGTTCGGTATGCAGTCCAGACACGCTTCCATTAGAGCCAGGCACAGCTGCCACAGGTTGTCGTCCTCTCGCGCATGTCCGGAGAGCCAGTGAACCACCTCAGAATGGCTCGTGAAATCAAGCCGTGTATGTTACCAGCCATCTTCAGCCACTCGATTGTCTACAGAATCGCCTACAACGTATGCCCTGTGGATCTGAAGCCAAGGAGCATGGTGAATCGATTCCGGGCTGGCCACCCACCAGCTCGCAAGCGCACGGCGGCGAAACAGGCACTGGAGTCCTGTGAGGGCCCAGGGAAAAGCAGGAAATCGTTTGTGGGAGACAAGTGACCGAACATGGGAGAGGCAGATGGGAGACGAGTGGGAGATGCTGAAACGGGTGAAACAATCGAACCCTAGCAGTGCGGTGTCGGAGAGAAGTGGAAGGCAAGTGAGTACTAACCACTCTCCGTCCGGTCACAGGCACTTTCGAAAACACATACCTTCAGATTCAGAAAGTCAACTAAAGGTTTTCATTTTTGCGATCTTTGATCTCCTGAGTTGTGTTATCACACATACCCTGGCGGGGGCTTCCGCCTTCACTTACGACGAGCCTTGTGCAGCGCTGGACTCGCAGGACCCTGACGCTGAGCTCTTTGAGCTCCAGCCAGCTAGCAGGGCCTCCGGCCTGCAACAGTCCACGCTTACTGGCATAAACATCGATCTTTGGCGGCTTGTGGGCCTTTCCGACTTGGTCACGTAGACCAGGTGACCAACCAGAGCCTGCCAAGAGAAGCTCAGATTGCCACACCTTGCTGTCTTTGCTGCAAAGCCTCCGGCCTTTGTCTGTGAAGGTAGCCGACACACAGCACGGAACTGCACAAAGTCGCGAACCTTGGACGCGTCAAACATATATGAATCCCGGCTTCCCAATTGGAAGATGCTGATGCCGGTTCGAAGGTCTGCACGGTGAGATGCGGAACCACCACATTTGAGACGATCGGCCTCCGGATCACTGAAGTTGCAGAACGTGCGATCGCGCATCTCCAACGCAACTAGGAAGCCATGGGATCTTCTTTGCGACCACCATAGTTTCGACGTTCTTGTCAGCCTGGGGAGAACTGGTACCCAGTGCCGTGCAGTTGTCTCTGCAATTGCTCGAAGCTACCCCTGCGCGTCAACCGCCTTGTTTACTAGGGCGGTTGCAATTCTTGTCGCAACCGCCTCGTTTTACCAGCCGGAGCCAGAGGGTGCTTGGTTTGGGGGAGAATGGAACTGAGTTTAGAAGCTTTTTTGACCGGGTTTCGCCGTGTTTTACTGTGTTTGCCCGGGCGCGAAGTACCGTGACTCTGGCGTGACCCTGGCGTGATCCTGGCGTGACTCTTCTCTTATTTTAAAGAGGAAAGGGCTCGAACCGCCCCATTTTGCCCGTGACTCTGGCGTGACTGCTGCGTGACTCTGGCATATTCTAGAAGCTAGCACCTGGGAACTGCTTCAAACACCATCAAAATTTGCAGATTTCGCGCCGTGGAAACTACGTCTCCACATCGTCCCTGTGTCGCAACCGCCCGGTTTACCATGAAGGTTGTGAACCGCCTCGTTTTCTGCGACTGTTGGACTTGCTGGGTACAGCTTCCGGAATTGTCCAACTGCTCCAGTGTAATTTTTTTTACAGTCCAAGCTGGTCCCTGTTCACCCTCCGTCTCTACTCACCCTGGAGAGACAACACGTCAATTCTTCCGGACAGGGCTACGCAGAACCCAGGTCCTTGTGGCTGTCTGCTTCCAATGCTGTTGTTGCATACGATTGCAGCATTGCAGTTGCAGTATGACCCTATGACCCTGCCCATGACCCCCGGCTTGTGCAAGGGCAGCATGTTGTAAGGAAGTCCATGTGAAGACAATTCGTCGAGGCCCTTACATCCGCCGGGACATCCGAGCCACCCTGCAAGGCAAAACGCCGTCCAACACATGGGCCGCCCGCATGCGTCAACACATGCGCCCTTGGAGCTCTACCCGGCGGCCACCAGCACCCGCGCGGCTGTGTGAGTGCGTTACTGTAGCTGCAGCCGCTAGGGGGCCGGTTGCCTTGGGTTCCGCTGCGCCAGGATTCTGCTGAATGACCTCGAGCTGCTCCTGGCACGACTGTACCGCGTTGAAGATGAACGCGGCTCGCGTTGACTCCAAGCTTCAGGGAGGGCTGCCCCCACCTCGTCGGTGCAGACACCTTTTGCCTTGCAGTCCGACAGTCTTGGCATTCTCAACTCCAGAAAAGGAAAGGACATATTGATGATATCTGCGAAACGCAAGGCCTGTGTATGTTTTGCTGGAACGATATGGGAGTTGGCCGTTGAGGGTTCAAGGCCGAGGATCATACTGTAGCCTTCAGGGCGTGATACATCCTGCAAAATGCCCTATGAGCCTGTCTTTCGTAACTTTAGTGTAGCAGCTTGCGAAACGATACAGCTGCCCAATAGATAGACTGCGGCGTCATACTGCAACAAGATGGCTTCTCGGACGAATAATGACTTCAGACTCGTCTCACTAAAGCAGGAAAATTAGAGCCCCACGCCCCACGCGCCTGGCAATTGCAGTTCAGTCCGTCGATCTTCAGCATCAGACTCTCGAGGGGAACCGATGCTGAAAGGACCGACAAGGGCCTGAACCAAAAGGACCTGGCAAGTGGCAAAGTTTGACTTCGACATCTGCTAGGCCAGGACGGGCGGCGGAGGGGTGGCTGAGTGGTACACCGACTCCGGCTGCATGAAATCGCACGAAGCATGCCGGGGTCACGCGCTGCCCTCCTCCACCGCCAGGTCCTCTTGGACATCCTGTGTAAGGAGCAGAACCACACAACACACCCCGACAAGCCTGAAACCTGACATGAGTTTGCCCTGAATCCAACCTGACGCCGAACCTATTCCTGGCCAGTCAATTCGGCTGCTGATGATCTGAAAGTAGCAACCTATAGCATGCTATGTAATCCTGAAGCGGCGTCATGCTAAGATCATACACACGTACTCCGGCCCATATTAGGCAAGAGACCGAACATGAGTGGCAAAGAGCACGCTCGTACAGATGCCGTCTTGTAAGGGCCCAACACGTCCCGGGCAAACTTCCTGGCAAATCCGCCCGGCCTGGCGCAAGGAGGCGCTGGATCCTGCCTCAAACTGGAGGTTTGCCGAACTGCGGGCCCCCTTGCTGTTTGTAGACTGATTTCAAAAAAATAGTCAACTTGGTCTTTGTGGCAACAGCTGTGACTGGGTTCTGCCCGTGCCTCTGGCCCAGGCGTGCACTCCGTGCACCAGGGGTCCTGTGCGCCGAAGGTCCAATACTCTGCCCAACGACATGACATCACCATGACAGCTGCCAGGTACCTGTTCCACCGGAAGCGCGGACAACACATGCATTATGCCAAACAAATACCGCTATACATCTTCCAAGCAAGCTGGAGTTCGACGTAAACGCATCACACACACATACACGCTGCCCAATTTCAACAGCGAATTGCAAAACAGTCCTGGAAGCTGTCTCTGGATGCGTCCGGAGCAATAACCTGGTCGCGGGTCGAGCAGGGACAGCGTCGGCGCATGTCTGTGGCTGAGTTGGCCACTACCTCCAGCTCATCCAAACAACCTGGGACAGGCGATTCGCATCTTCTCTATGTCAAGCGATCTAGGGATCCAGGTCATGTCGCCTTCTGGTTGCGGCTGATGGCACAGCCCTCAGCGCAAGGAAGTCAGGACGGCAGCGCGACAGCTGCGAGACCCAGGTATACCCAGGTGACACTCTACACGATGCAAACGTAAGCACGCTGAGAGCGAGTCAGCTGAAGCCGCCGCTCCACCACATGACGGCTCGAAGTTACTAGCTTTACTAGCTCATGTGTATCTCTGCGTGCCATATGTGAAACCCAGAAACCATCATTGCTGCTCAAACTTGGAGATGCCGAGATGCCTCCTTGCAGAAGGAACTGCCGGGTTGATCTTGCTTGGCGGTGAGACCCGTGATGTTGCAATGAAGGGCATTGTGTCAGACCGACTCAACCCCATCGGTGTTAACGGTGCAGCCTTCAAACCGAATGACAGATGTACTTGTGTTGCGGACTTGGGATGTCCCAAATCAGATTCCGAGTGGCTTGAGAGTTAGAGTCGGCGTCTTGGCTTAGCTTCACCGCTTCCAGGCCATTTGGGCCGAGATGCTTGAGCCAGTTCCAAGCACATCCCACGTGATAGCAAGTCATGGGTTTGGGAGAATCATCCGCAGATCCAGGACCATCATCCAGGCAGCCCCAAAAAACACCATTCATTCATGGCATAGGCGCGCGCTGCTTTGGGTTGGCAGGTACTAGACAGGATAAAGGGGAGCGCTGCTTTTGCAAGTGGTACGTGGCTCAGCATGTCCAACAGATAGTTATAAACGTGTGCAATCATCATTTTTCCTTGCCGCCTAGTTAGCGGTGTTGTAGTTGGTTGTTGTGGCTAGAACACGGATTAGAGCAGCGGACAAGCAGTTTCTCCAACATCTTATCTGGGAAGCCAGGCCATGTAGACGCACGCTGCGTGCGGAAGCTAGGCTCTGCATACGCTATGTGGCCATGTCCATGCTTCACGCTTCACTACACAAGATCGAAGCCTCACAGCGCACGCATGGAAAGATGCGTGAGAGCACAGAGTAGTACAGAATAGTACAGAGCAAGGCTGTCGCTTGTCTTGCGATATCGAGCTTCAGGCACCCAGTGTCTTTTGCGCTCCAGGGAAGGCAGCTTTCAGGCGACTCAGGGGCGGCCCAGCAGCGGTAACATGCGGTATCCCAACTAAACGCCAGATGAGAAACGGTCTCTGAGCCAATCAGAAGCAGCGCTTGCGGCCAGGATCGCCGAGTCGAGTGAGTCGACCATCATGCTCCCAGCGCGATGGCCCAAACGCTCGCCCAAACAGTGCAAACGGCACTGTATTTGGCACAGGTGCCACTCTGGGATCGTCAATTTCCAACGTCTGATGCACTCCTCTGCTTCCATCCGCAGCTCGTGCCTCTTGCCCTTCTTCTTGTTGC